GGAGAAAATCCCGCTTTAAAATCATGAAAAACGGGCTTAAAATGTCAAAAATATCAAAAATGGGCTGAAAATGACAAAAATGCGAGACCTGGCCGAGGTTCGGCCCTCTTATGCTGAACCGAGAGAGAGAGGGAGGCGGAACCGAGAGGAGAGGAGAAGGAGGGAAGAACCGAGAGCACGAAGAGACAGAGAGGAGAGAAGGGAACCGAGAGTGCGCGAGAGACAGAGAGGCGGAGTTAGCGAACAGAGAGGCTAAATAGCGAACAGAGAGTGGGGGCGGACCGAGAGGCACCGAGCGCTCTGTCGTGAACAGTAGTTTCGGTTCTTGCTTCTTGTTCTCGGTTTCGGTTCCTCCTGGGCGAGGTTCGGTCTCGGTTCTCTTAGCCGCCAGAGGCTCGGCCTCTGTTCTCTTAGCCACCAGAGGCTCGGCCTCTGTTCTCTTAGCCACCAGAGGCTCGGTCTCTGGTCCTAAGAAGCCTCTCATTCCGGTTTCGGTTCCTAAAGCCTATTTTTCTCGTTTTCGTCCCGTTTTAAGCCGTTTTTGACCCGGTTAAGGGCCGGAATGACCCGAATGATTCCAAAAAGTTACGGGAAACTTTTGAGAGAGATTTGGGAGAGATTTCTCACACTTGGAGAGATTTGGGAGAGATTTGACATTCTTGGAGAGATTTCTCATACAAAGAGATATTTGCGAGAGTTTTCACATACTTGGAGGGATTTGGGAGAGATTTGACATTCTTGGAGAGATTTCTCATACAGAGAGATATTTGAGAGAGATTTCACATACGTGGAGAGATTTGGGAGAGATTTAACATTCTTGGAGAGATTTCTCATATAGAGAGATATTCGAGAGAGTTTTCACATACTTGGAGGGATTTGGGAGAGATTTAACATTCTTGGAGAGATTTCTCATATAGAGAGATATTTGAGAGAGATTTCACCTACTTAGAGAGATTTGGGAGAGATTTGACATTCTTGGAGAGATTTCTCATACAGAGAGATATTTGAGAGAGATTTCACATACTTGGAGAGATTTAGGAGAGATTTAACATTCTTGGAGAGATTTCTCATATAGAGAGATATTCGAGAGAGTTTTCACATACTTGGAGGGATTTGGGAGAGATTTAACATTCTTGGAGAGATTTCTCATATAGAGAGATATTTGAGAGAGATTTCACCTACTTAGAGAGATTTGGGAGAGATTTGACATTCTTGGAGAGATTTCTCATACAGAGAGATATTTGAGAGAGATTTCACATACTTGGAGAGATTTAGGAGGGATTTGACATAGACAGAGATAGAGTGAAAACGATTGAGAGAGGATCCATGTGGGACAGTTGTGAGTGTCCGGCACCGCAATGCATGGTTCGTAAACCCTGTTAAGCCTTGTTTAAGGATCTTACACATTCCCGATGAGTATGCAACATGGTTTTCATCAGTTTAATTCACTGATTAGTACTAAGGCTTAGGAAAATTTTTAACACAAAACTTTTCTCTAGTGATGTTTTCCCATTAATATAGCAAGTTATACAATACGAACATAACACCAACCCTAATACACAAGGTTTAATAGAGTTGACCGGCTTGACTTGATGGCTTGACTTGACTCAAGATTGATGATTGTCACATAGATAAAAATATATATTTTTATACATAGTATAAAACTTGTATAACATGTTCAATCAATACATATTCCACATAACAGACGAGGCACACACACATAACACATATTTCATAGAGAATAAATTAGATCTATGAGATAGAAGAAAGTGAATATACATTCACACATATAACAATAAAATATACACATAACACGTATATTGTATAAAATACTTCATAGTTATGCGTTAGAAGAAATAACTACACACTCACTTGATCAGAAGATGATCAGACATCACTACGACTTGCAGAAGTAGTATTCTTCAATAGATTTGGAAGATCTTCACAAAAATCGGGCACCTTGCGGGCAGAGCTTCGGCTTGGGAATTGCACTTCTCGGGATCTTCAGGGCTTCGGGACTTGCTTCGGGACTCAGGATGATACCGGGGCTTCGGGGTACTTCTTTACACGCCAATCGATACAATATAGGTGAGAGATGAGAGAATGAGCAACCAAACTCGGTTGGCCCTTCAAATCTATTTATAGGGAAAAACTGGCCCTTGCCACGTCGTGGCGCCCTTTTCCACATCGTGGGATTGGTCGTCACTGCATGCATCATCGCATGTTGCGTCTAGGGGACTCCCGGAGGTGTCAAAAGACTGGCCACGTCGTGGTATCTGACAGTTTTGGGGTTTCGCGCCCCGAACTTCAGAAATTCATAACTTTCGCATACGAACTCTGTTTTCGAAATTCTTTATATCGACGTGAATGTGAGATTATGATCTACAACTCTCATTTAGAATCCATTGGCTAATTTTGACTTGATTTTTTAATATATTATAAGTATATTACTTATATATTATTTTTAGTAGGCTGGGAAAGGAAAACTCTGTTCGAAATTCATAACTCCTTCATCTGAACTCCGTTTTTGTCAGTCTTTTTGTCGTTGGACTACTATCGATGAGATCTTCAATTCTCATTTAGAAATTGTTGGCTAAATATCACTCGATCTCTATTTCGAGTATTCGGGTTGCATACCGCTAAGTCGAAACTTCGAAAAATCATAACTTCCTCATACGAAGTCAGATTTGGGCGTTCTTTTCATGCATGCTCTCTGTTTAATGAACTCTACGACTTTCGTTTAGATCTCTAAGACTAAATATCGCTCTAACGTAAATTTCACTTTTTACGTCATTCAATGTTGTCGGTTCTGTCACGAAACTTCGACAAGTCATAACTTATTCGTTATAACTTGGATTTAGGCATTCTTTATATATTTGGAAACTTCGTTTCAACTACTACAACATTATCCATAGATATCGGCTTTATCTAACATTTAATTTTGACGATTATTTTTATTCTTAATTAAATTAAGACACACAATTAAGCACATAACACGTAATACTCAAATAATACACTTCTATTATTTCAAAACGGGTTACAAAGGTTAACCTAGACTATTATATCAACATTAATGACAATCCCAGAAACACAGGCGTTACACATACTGGGCCTTGATGATTATATGATATTGGGTCATAGGAATACCAAGAGGTTGGACTAGAACAATTGGATGGGCCTAAAGGAAAGACCATGTAGAGGTCTTGGCCCAATTTAGAAAATTGGATCATATGTTGGGATTTGGCCCATTACTTGACTATTGGGCCTTTGGAGTGTGAGTTGGACCTTGGGCTTGGAATCCAATTATTAATTGGGTATTGTTTGATGTTGGCAGTTCGGGAATTTGTCAACCAGCAGCTGGAGTTTCATCCGCGGAACTTCAGCAGTGTCAGGTGAGTTATCATCACTATACTAAGGAGTCTAAGGCACCAAGGCCGGCCCATTGGATATGATATCCTTGCAGTTGGTATTATGTTTATTATGGGTTAGTTATGTATGCTAGTTTGATATGCTAGAGGGTAGGTCTATAGGACTACCTGTGATATTGTCTGTTTATTTGTATGTGCACTTATCTATTATATGTCGACATATTATGTGGGTTGGGTTTAGGTTGTACTGCTCCGTGCGGTAGCCAACAAACCCTAGAGTATTCCAGATATGAGCTGAAGGCTGGGTGGGGCATGGCAGACTCATACTGAGAACTCGGGAGTATTCCAAATATGAGCTGGGGGCCAGGCGGGGAATGCCAGACTCATACTAAGGACTCGGGAGCATTCCAGATACAAGCTGAGGGCCGGGTAGGGCATGCCAGACTCGTACCATGGGCTAAGGAGCATTTCGGATACGAGCTGAGGGCCGGGTAGGGCATACCAGATTCGTACTGTGGGATCGGTGGCAATCCAAATGTGAGTTGTGGGCCCGGAAGGCAAGCCAAACTCACATTGTGGGACCAGGGGTAATCCAGTCTGTAAATCTCTGGACCCAATACATGCTATTATTTGTATATGTGTTATTTGCAGTGTATCGGTATTTTGGGGGAACTCACTAAGCTTTGGGCTTACAGTTTCAGTTTTGGTTTCAGGTACCTCAAATAATCGTGGGAAGGCAAAGGCCTGATCGTATAACTCCTCACTTTTTATGACTATGTTTATGGGATACTATGATATATAATTGTTTTGAAAACAAGTTGGTAATAATTATTGGTTTCTAGATGTTTTAAAAAGTTTAACTTTGGCCTGATTTTTATGGGTGTTACATAAGACATCCCCAATAAATCAAGATCTAAAGTTTTCACTTCAAAAATGGCCTAAAAATCTTAACAAACATGCATGGTTTTAATGAAGGACAAAATACCTTAAATTTTCTAGTCCAAGAGGTCTATGGAGCATACCAAAGTGCTTAAGTGATGATGGAGTCCTTCCAACTTCAAAATCACCAACAAAAGAGACCAAAATGAACATGACAAGATCTAATGATTCAAAGAAAAAGATTGAAACTTTATACTCACAAAGGTCTAGAAAAAGGTGCAACCTCGTTAGATATACACAAGAGCCTTCCTTTAATGCACATAAGAAAACCTTTGATCTCCAAGCTTCACTTCAAACCATGGACAGATGAGATCACAAATGGAAACCAAGCTCAACAATAAGGGGATGAGATTAGGGTCTCTGAAAAATGGCTCAAGGGGTGATGGTGGCTGTGAATGACATCTTTACCCTTTATTTTTCCTTTTTCATATTGTATGATTATTTCCCTATTATGCATAGACCATTTATGTAATATCTATCCCTAAATTTTGCATCAATAATAATGGGGTAAGGTCTGTTCCCTAATTTCCTCTACTTCTTGAATCAATGTCTTAAAATTGAAAGATCTGACGACAACAACCCCTCCCCTTCTTAAACTGATTATATAAAATCAAATCATCTAGAATTGCCAAAGTATCTACAGTTTGATTTGGACTCATTGGACCAGAAATTAGCAAGAATTTGTTTGCAGACATGATCAGAACTTGGTTTAAAGATGTGTATGGGAAATCGACACCTTTCCATCCATACAATGAATTCTTTAGGCCTCAAAGGTTTAGGGAGTGTGAACTAATCCATTGTCGGTGGGCTATGTTGGCTACTCTTGGTACTCTCAAGTCGAATGCGTCACCGGTGTTACATGGCAAGATGTCAGAAGGTATGTATGTACATGTTATACATTTGATTAGTCGATAATAAAAGCATAAACTATGAAAACTAATCGATTTTTTGGTATTGTTTTTCTTTAGGTTGAAATAATCGTTAGATCATCATACCTTGGGCAATCACTCTCGTTCTCCATCACCACTTTGATCTGGATTAAAGTTTTGATCATCAGTTACATTGAGTTTCAAAGAAACGTTGAGCTTGTTCCTGAAATAAATTGTAGAATTGAAATAAATTGTTCAAAATCATATTTAATTCTAAGTGTTTTTTAGGCGAATAAAAGTTCGAACAGGCAAGTATTACTAAAGAAAAGTGTATTTATAATATGAATGATTTTGCACACTCGATGCTCCATCATCAAGGTGAGAAGAGCAAAACGTGAGATCAGTTGGAAATCCACTTCTCTCGGTATGAGATTGATGTTTCTGAGATATCCCTTTGAACACATCTCATGCATTTAGACCATTAGAAACAACTGTTTGCAACTAAAATCTCAGTCCTCCTAAATCTCTGCTTGCAAATTACACATAAAATTTGGGGGATATGCCATATGTGTTTTGTGAAGTTATTTTGAGAGATTTGGCTACATGATTGATCATAAATTTCCTATTTGCCTTTTTATTTTTTTTATTTTAGTTATTAAATGGAGATGATGATAACGAACATACATTTATAATTTCATTTTTTGAGAAGAACGGTAATAATCCGATGAGTATAATCATCAACTTCAAACAACTTAACTCTAAAAGTCGTCTAGGTGAAAACCCATCTCCGCTAATATTTGGATGGTTTCCAATGGGAAGTAGCGAGTGATGGCAAACGGTGGTGGTGGTGGTAGAGCTTAGATAGAAGTAGAGTGGAGCCATTTATAATTTAGTAATAAAAATATTAATAAAATAAAAATCTAAAAACAAAAAGATATGGAAAAATGGTAAAGAAATCATTTTATTAGGAATTTAACAGCTCTCTGTTAGATTTGATGGCTTAGGGATGATCATTGTAATATCGAGAAAACATAATTAAAAAAAAAAAAAAAAAAAAAAGCGAGTCTGTCTATTTTTTGAAGTTGGACTGTATATGTGCCTAGTTTGCTAAACTATAGGGACTATTTATGTAATTTTGTCATAAAAAAATAAAAACCTGGTGTGCAGTTTTGGCCCTTTCACTCCACCTGCGCATGTTATCACTTGGCGTACGTTATCCATTAATTTATCCTCTGCGTTCTTTGTTTATCGTTTCAAAATTAAGTACGAAAATAATGGTAGTTATCAAAAAAGAAAAAAGTAAATAGCTAAACAAATAATTAAACTACTTATACTTATAAGCTGTCATCTATATATTTAACTTATAATAATAATAATGTTTAAAATATTAAAATAAAAAATATACAATAAAATATAATTTAAAGGTTGTTTTGTAAAACTCATATATAAATAAGACCTGTAATATTGCTTGTCATTGACACTTTTCCGATGATCTATGTCTCAAGATTATGATTTCAGAATCAACTTAGTCTTCATGATGTGGAATAATCAAGAATAATATGCATGTATCAGGTCACATATTATCAATATGCCATTTAAATCAAACGATTTTTTTTATATATATAACAGCAACAACAACAGACCTGTAAATCTCATTGGAATGAAATAGAAGAGGTAGATATCAATAGTCGTTCCTTCATATGATAAAAACAGCTGCATCTCAACTCTCAAGATGACATCTAACATAAAGGCAAAAGCATGAAAAATATTTTTTTTCTCTGTATTTATAGTATTAACTGTAATTAGACATTCTATAAATCACGTATGTTTTTTTGTCTTATTAAGATATCATAACATGCACTATAATATTTTGGCATATTTTCCGGTATGAAAATACACTAAGACTTTATTCTTGATGATTGAAAATAAGATGATAAAGGTCTTTGATATTCTTTTACAATTTGAGAAGCAACCTGTGAACTGTATATAATAACTCAAAGATAGAAATGATTCTAAATATACAGTATATTTTAAATCATCCTTTTTCATATGGGTCTTCTTTGTTATTATGAAAATAAGATATATTATTAAACTGCCAATAATTTAATATAATAATATTTGTATAAAGATTTAGATTTATACTTTATATATTAAAGGAAATCTGTCGATACTAATAAAGCCAATATTTCTAGATGACATTGTAGAATAACTGGATGTGTTGTAAGATTGTAAATATGCAATTAATTATGATTTTAAAAAGCAAAATAAATTGATCGATAAAATTAAATAAAATCGAGATGTTATATCATATATGCGATTTTCCGAATAATATATTTACTTCGCATTTAAAAAGAAAAAAAAAAAAAAGACTTTAATAAACCAAAGCAGTGTTCGGTCCATGCCATTTTACAATTACGAAACCCACCCTTCTCTCTCTACTCTCTCTCTCTAAAACTCTCGATTTCGACTCCCAGACAGATGATCTAGCGACGCCTCTTGTCCAAATTCATCACCAACCCACGTCGTTTCTTCGCAAATCATTCATACCCACCTCCTCAATCTTCAAATCGTATCTTCATAGATCGAGGGTATGTTGCTCGCTTTCTCAGTTTCTCTTTCTCTCCCCCTTATATATCTATCTATATATATCTCTATACACACACGTGGCTGCGTATATCGTGTTTATGCATATATGTTAGTGCCTTGAGAGTTGATTCAATCGTTGTTGATCTCACTTCTTGTCTTCAATGCAGGCAAATTACCTACGTAAATTCAATGTGTTTCCCCAAACGGTGTTGCTAACATGCACCTCCTTTAGGAACTACGTGCGTGAGGCCGTTTGTGTTTGTGTGTGGTGTGTTTACGAAGAGGGCTGCTTGGGCTTTGTTGGTGAATTGCTTGGTGGTGTTGTGTGAAGATGTCAAATACTCAGGTGGTGAAATTACGAAGAGAATCGGTAGCGGCATGCATGACATGCCCTATCTGCAATAAGCTCTTTCGAGATGCCACTACTATCCCCGAATGCCTTCATACGTGTGAGTATTTCTCTCTCTTGTTGCTAATCCAATTCAATCATAACCTTCACTTCAAGAGTTTGAGTTCGATCTGGGTTTGTTTAACTTAGTGTTGTTGGTATGTACGAGTTCACAATTGGGATTCTTCATGGTGATCTGGTTATGATTCTCTTAATTAATACTTTGTTTATCTTTAATCTTTTATCTTTCATGTTGAATGGCAAAAAGCATGTGTTTTTCAAACTTGATTAATTGGAATGAACCGGTTACCTTTTCCATTAATCTGATATCGTGATATTTGTTGTTTGCTGTTTATAAACGTAGCTGTTGAAATTTAGCTGAAAATTTCCTACATATTTCCCAGTATTATTCTGTTTCATGGATCTTTAAAAACAGAATTGACAAAACGGGGCATAATTTTCAGTTCCCCTAATTTTCTATGTAACTATGTCAATCTTGTTTTTTCCCATAAATAGCAAAGACTTGGCCTTTCTTTAGTTGAAAACTTTTGCAACAAAACCTATCTGTTCAAATTTTCTATGTCTGTAACAATTCTAAGAAATGTGTATTTGCTAATTGTGTTTTCCCTCTCTTGAACATCATCCAGTCTGCAGGAAATGTATTCATAAGAAGCTCACAGATGATGAGCTTGAATGTTGTCCAATATGCAATATTGATCTGGGATGTGTGCCTTTAGAGAAACTGAGGTCAGTCATTCTCTCTCTAACATTATGTCATTTATCAGTGCTCTTAAATTATTAATTTTTATCCATGTTACAGAATTGAATTTGATATATCTGTTATAGTTATATGTATTTTTTTTTTTTCCTTTTTGCATAATGTGGCTATAAAGAAACATTATTATAGTTGCAAACCTTTATAATGAGAAGAAATATGAATGTTTATAATTTTTAGGGAACACTGTCACAACTTGCTGTACAACAAATCCAGAGGTTCTGTTTCTTTCATTATTAGGCTATATTTTGATGATATATTGTAGATAATATCCTTTTTGGTGTATATTATTTTCCATATATCCTATAATCAATACATTTCCAAATGCATCAGATTGTTAACTTTCCTTTTTTAGGTTAATTTGAGTACTTCATTTAATGAAAACCCATATCTGTTCATTTTCATTCATCAACATGATTTTCTTTATAAAAGAAATGTTGAGATGATACAGGCAGGATATGCTGTTTAAAACATGATTAAATAAATATATTTGATTATTGTAATTAAACAGGCCAGATCATAGTTTGCAAGATGTTAGAGGGAAAATATTTCCCTCAAAAAGAAGAAGGGTAAAGGCCCCTGAAGTTGTGCCTTCAGTTACATTACCATTAAGAAGAAAAGAAAGATCACTCTCATCACTTGTAGTCAGCACTCCTAGAGTGTCAACACAAACTACAATGACTGGCAAAAGGTCAAAAGTACCCTCAAGAAAGAAACCACGTGGGTCCTCTTTCTCTATTGAGAAATCTGTCAAGAAAGAAGAAAACTCCATGGATGATCACCAAGATAGCTCGAGTTCTCGTGAGATTTCAAACAAGTTCACACAGAACAATGTACTCATTTTCTTCATGAAAACACATTCTTTATTATTTTTTTTTTTAAAATTAAAATCTGTAATGAGAAATAACAATAATGATGCAGAATTCTTCACCATCGAGTGCCCCTTCACCTGATAAAGAAACAAAGAATGGGAAGGTTGATATGTGGAAACCTTTGAATTATTTGGTGGAAGTGGCAAATAGGAGTAAATCTTCTAAGTTTACTTCACAGGGGTCTAGTGTGAAATCAGAACCACAAAATACCCCAAAGAGTGAAGGGCAATTACGTAAACTTAAAGGAAAAGATCAACTGAAGCGATCAAAATTTCAAGATGAGAATGGGAGGTCTGATGTGGATGTTGCAGAATCTGCAAAACCCAAAAAGATAAGAAAAAAACGCAAAAATAATACAGGTAATGCCACTGTAATGGATGCTGATGCTAATAATGCTGCAATGGAGAAAAGAATAAGTCCTATTTGGTTCCATTTAGTGCCTTCTCAACAACAGTGAGTGGTTTTATACTTCTATTTCAACTCAACAACATGAATCTTGAATCTTGTTAAAAACTTATTGTTTTTTATATTCACTTGTTAAGTTTCCTTTATATATATATTTTTTCAGGGAAGGTGAACCATTGGGCCAGATAGAAGGAAGTTTTGTCAGACTAAAGTGAGTTTCTCTTTTTTGCTCATTTGGCCTGATATTAGCTATAAATATAACCGAGTTGACTCACTTTCACATAAATTACCACAATCACATTAGCATAATGAATCGTATTTGGAATTTAAATCATAATTTATTCAGGATAATGTAGCAATTTTCTACAATATATACAGATTATGGGTAGTTTTTTGCTTAAAAAGTTGTGTTCTTTTTACATATAGTCTTACTGCTTCTCACCATGTTTTTTTTATTTTTGTAGTAAAAAAATTACATTTTGACCTTTTATAAGCCCACTAAAGTGTCATCCTTTGACTTGGAAATTCATTCTATTTTCGAAATATGGACAATTATATTTTCTTTAACATTGTTTACACCATTTTCTAGCTACTGTATTTCATGTACTTTAGAGGCAATTCTTGATTTTCCTCAAAAATGAAATATATCCAAAAGAGTATAGTTTTTGGCATCTGTAAAGGCTGTCCAAAAGTTATGTCTTTTTCCCTAGTTTCAGTTTATTTATTTTTTGCATTTGTCATGATACTTTATAACTTGATTGTTACATTCATTATAAATCACTTATGTTACAAATAGGCTACTAGAAATATGTGTTTTATTTCTGTTTTCTATTGAGATATTCCCTTTGTTCAAAAAATAGTTAGAACTTAGAACCTCAGGAAACCATAACCAGCTAAATGGGTTAAGATTTCCAAACCAACCGGATCTCTTAGATAAATGGGTTGACCCGTTTACTTTTTTTTTTCCCCACCTTATCCTGTTGTTGTTGGGTAAAAATTTCTAACCCTAAACCCAACCTATTAAAAAAAAATAGGATTAAACAGGTTAAAAGTCTTGACCCAATTTGGTAAATGCATAAAATAAACAAATACCTATGCTTTAAGTTTTATCTTGCTTTTAATTATACTTTGTGCACTTGTTGTTTAAACTATTGAGGAAATTTTTTGTTGTCTTGCCTCTACAAGCAGCAAAATGGGCGGATTAGGTAATGGGTCAAATCAAGAAAATTTAGGACATGTCAAAATGAGTTGATGTGCCCCTGGACACTCTTTTTCTCTTTTCTTTTAAATTTTATAACTTATGTTAAGCTATTGTTAAAAAAATGTTCCTATTTCTTTTGATAAATCATGTGTCATTGTCTTTTTAAAAGAAAATACAAAAATTGTCCCTTTTGTAGCCTATTTGCATATCAGGGCTTCGTATTACATGGAAGATGGGATTGTGGGTCCCATGTATGTGACTTGAACCTAGTAGTTCCTCATTGGTTATATATTGAAATTTTCATTTTAAATTGGTTTCAGGGATGCAAACATACCTGTTTCAATTATCCAGAAGTTTGTTATGACCAAACTGAAACTTGGAAGTGAACATGAGGTAAGTCTCTGATGTTATTATTATTATTATATTCATATGTTTATCGAATGTAAAGGAAAATAACACACTTTCTGCTCCTTTTGCTCTTTGATGTGTGTAATATGGGCAAATGGCAAGAAATAAGCACTTTCTTTACTTTTTTACCAAGGTAGGCAATGTGTTTACCCATTATAGCAACACACTTACAATTCCTTAGTAGCAACATACTTACATCTCCCTACCCTAATAAAGTCAAATGTGCATACTACTGACTTAACCATAGTGTATTTGGAGGGCAAATTCGTGATTGTTTTCTTATATGTTGTGTGTTTCAAGAATACTCTCTCAATTGAAAAAGACCATTTTGCCCTTGAACAGGTTGAGCTCAGATGCATGGGTCAACCACTGGTGCCAACATTGCTGCTAGGTAATCTCATGGAGCTGTGGCTCCAGACACAGCCAACTTCACAGACACTTTCCGTCATAATCGGCTCATCAGCTAAGGAATACATGATGGAGATATCGTATGCTAGAAAAACTCCCGCCCTGATTCCGATTCCAATTCCGACCCCGGTTCCAATTCCAGTTCCGGCTCCAGCTCCGACTCCGACTCCGGCACCGGCACCGGCACCAGTGACTTGACCGCTATTCCCCTCCTTCGGTTTCCACATAGTGTAAGAAATGGAAGGACAAGAAGCTGAGATGTTCTAGTTTTATAGTTTATGTATCAGACAATATGACTAATTATAAAGTTTTAAGTTACTATATAGTTGTAGGTTTGTGGTTTTTTTACTACATATGTCGGTGAATTTTCAAATGTTGTCACCTTTGAACCCTCAACTTTTTATTAGTTCATAACTATTGCTAGTATTTCTGCCTTTGTTACTATTGCAAAATCGTGATTTACTGTTTTTAGTATATGGCATGATAGATGGATGACCCACAAAACACTTTTTGTTTTTATTTATTTTTTAAATTAAAGTTAGTTGATGCATTAGATATGACTAGAATAACTTAAAAATAAAAAATGTAAGCATGCCTAAATAAATATGGTCTGAAGGAGGGCCTAAACTGAGAAAATTTAAAGACTGGGGAGCAAAATAACATTAATATTCATGTTACAACATAGATTTACAATTTTACGTTGATTTTGACAACTACCACCCAATTGTGTTTAACTTAATATCTGTACTATACATAAGACTTTTTTTTTCTTCTTCTTCCAAGCATGCATGCTCTTATTAATTTCCTAGATTACAATTTACAAACAAAATACAAGAATTAGAAATAATAAAGGATCAAAATTAATAAAAGAATTTATATTCCAGTAAAACCAAGCTCATCGAGAACCTCCTTGCAACGTGGATCGGCAACTTCAGCCATGAACCCGAGTGGGTTAGCAAACCGAGCCCTGCCTTTGATTCCATGTTTGGTGGTCAAAGAAACCCTAACATGGTTCTCATCATCCATAAGGTCGGGACAGTTAATTTCTGGGCTTTCAGTGACACTGACTTCACAAATCTCCTCTGCATGGTCACCAACCGCCTTGAGTTTATACTTTCCGTTCTCATCGCTCATTCCTTCAACCCTATAAGTTTCCACATTGCTATTCTCTTTGTGACAAGCAAGGACCACTTTGACATCTCGCAACGGGAAGCTGATTTTGGTTGGGAATTGGATGCGGCATGGGTCGCAGTAGATTTTACCTTGGATGATAAACGTCTCGCCTCCGTCAGGGGTTACGCTTGCTTTTCCTTGGTTAATAAAGTCACCCCCGACACCGCCAAATCCCTCCCAGATTGATCTTTTTCCCTGGATCATGAAATCGCCAGCTGGTCCTGGTCCAGAGGCGGGTCCACCTTTCTCTTTGGTGGGCTCGCCGTTTGGACTAGGGGCAAGTTCATCTACTAATTCGTCGGCGAATCCTGGGTCTACTTCTCCTATGCTAGCTGGGGGAGGAGCACCACCGCTGATCCAACTGCAATGCCCAATTGTTGCCATCGACAAGGCAATAAATGAAAGGATTAAAAGGGTGGCATAGTTTGCCATTTTTTTTTTATTTCCTCTTTTCTAAATGTATAAAGGGGTTATTTATGGTGGTGGTGATGAAGGATGGTTATGAAGATGGTGGTGGCGATTGAAAGTTTAAAGGGGAAATTGATAAGAGATTTTATGTTGAAAGGGTGAGGTCGAGAGAAAAAACGGGGAGAAAACGGTTAGATTTCTATCTATAGAAAACCGTTAATATGTACGACAAACAACCATTAGCCCATTTGACCTCATCTTTTAATTAAATGATAATATACAAGTGGCAAATAAGACATGAAATAATAACTAAACTACAAAAAGAAAACATTATACATCCCTCTTAGATTGCATGAAAAATAAAAAGATGCCTTCATTTCCAAAAAAATTACAAAAATACCTTTGGTCCAAAGTTACAAAAACAGTCCCTGGCAAAAACTAAGATTTACAGAAATGGTCCCTGTAAGATTTACAAAGTTACAAAAACGGTCCCTGGATTAACTTTTTATTAAATATCGTGGAAGAAGCTGTAAGTGTTGATATCATCTATGATGAAGTTAACAGCACCAATGCAACCCATAACTGCAACCGCAGAGAACCATGTGGCTATAAGAATGTTGAAGACGAGAATCGGGGTTGAATTTTTTGGCAATTTTCCAGCTTTTAAATGTGCTAATACGGGAAACACAAAGTCAAGTGGGGTGAATCCAATGGCTCCACATATGGACACAAAGTCCCCAAAAAATGGCATGGCTGCAGCCACCAGTGTTATCAAAGCCATGTAAAATGAGGTGCATAACAGACGTATAAGAACATGCTTTTTCAAAGGAACTCGAGTACCACCACTTTGTTCGCTTGATGCCTTTTTCATTTTTTCTTCAAAAAAGGCGTATGTTGGCCTGCAATATATCTTACAAACGCCAAAAAACAGATCATAAAATAGATGGCATGGCCTACACGTGGCATATTACATGGCAACATGGTGGCGTCCAAGTGGACTTTGTTTGATTTTTTTTTTCTAACTAAAAGTATTTTTATTTTATCCCTTCAATAATTTCTTCAATCAAGAACCACCAAAAGAGGGATGTAAAAACACACACACAAAAAAAAAAAAACGAAGTTTAATGGCCCGTTGAGTCCAAAAAGCAACACCTACTTTAACTATTATATCAGTTTGACCATTGAAATAATTTGATGCTTAAACGGGTTCAATGTTTGCATCGATAAAACGACAGCACTTTATGTTTTTTATAGACATTGCCCAAATATCAAAACCAGATAATTGGGAAATATGTTTTTTTTTTTCAAATAGTAAAAAAAAATATACAATAGTTTAATCACTATCGAAAATACTTTAGGTGGTTTAATGGATAAAATGGTCAAAGTTATGCTTTTCTGTATTTCGCTTTTTTTTCCCTTCCAAATAGATATACCTAACAAAAAGTCGGGTACAACAATTTGACAAAGGGTCAAGACCAAAATTAGTCACTAAAATATTGAAATTGTGCTCATGGTCACGTAACTTCTTTTAAGTTTTAAATGTCAGTTAACTTCTCCCAAAGTGGTCATTATAATAGGAGAGAGTAGGTTCCACATTTTTTTCGTAATTTATTTTTTACATGTTTTTCACAATACGTTTTTACAACTTCAATTTTTAGTTTGTGTTTACAACTTCATTTTTAAAAGCAAAATACCTGGAAACATCCACATATTTGGATGACAGCAAAAAGATTTGCCATAACAGTGGTCCATTCAGGTGTTCTAAGAGAGGCAACAATAAACGGCTCAACTTCTGAACCAAACGCCCAGTATCCAAAAAACGCCAATTGCCAGTAACTCAACACAATGATTATATATGCAGCTGCTATCCCTTTATACATCGTTTTCTTCATGGGCTCTCTAACACTACTCTGCAATAACCCAACTTCAAAACTTTACAACATAATCTTTCTTTTTTATCTTTATTCTTGAGTAAATTACATTTTGGTCCATGAGTATAGTTGTAATCTTTTGAAAGGTGTAATTTACATAACATAAAAGCTAAAAGCTACTTGAAGTAGCTTTTTATTCTAAAATAAATCTTCTTCAAAGCTCGTTGCCCAACAAACTCTATATTTTTGAGACCAATATTGAAAGAAAGAACTTTCTGGGACCAAAATTGCAAAAATCAGCTATAAATAGGGACCAAAAAAGTAACTTGCTTTTTTTTTAATGCAAATTACCTGAATTTCTGGAAGCATGGCATCACCAAACGAAAATGCAATAACTCCAAGACCATTAAAGGCTTTGAACATCTTTGCTGAAGAGCTTCCAGGGAGACTATAACTTACAGTCCTTCTATCGATCTTCTTCCCTGTCACAAAAAATAATAATAATAATTTATTTTACGTGTTTGACTTTGACCCATTAGAAATTAAATATATAAATGGATTGAAATAGCATTACCATTGTAGATTGTGACACCAATAGTTGTGGCAGCGAATCCGATTGTACTAAAAGTGCAAACAGCATTTAACCATCTAAGTGAATGGATATTTGGAAGCTGAGAAAGAACAAGTTCAAAGACCCCGAAGAAGATGATAAAATGTTGAAGTGTTAAACTACCCTCTTCATGGTAGTATTTGTACACTGCCTGCACATGATGATACATGTAAATACAAAACAGAAATTTGGTACTTACGAATGTATTGTATATATCTGGAATTCAATGAATTCACTGTATCGATGACCTTAAGGCTACTTCCAGCTGCAATTTGAATGGCGATATTGTTGCCCAAAGAAGCCACCTGCTGGAAAAACGCAATAGACCAGTAACCCCAATTTCCTTGAAGATCAAAGATAGGTCAAGTAAGAAAGCTAAAGGAAATCATGTGACAAAGGAGTTCATATTAACTTCATATCAATCATTTAAATATACAAGGGATCCAAAGTACAGTTTTCATGGTAAGAGATTTTTTCTTTTCTTGAGATTGATGTACTCATGAATGGAGAAGAGAGTAGAACTGACCATAAATGCTACGAGCAAGATGTCTATAAGTGGTGTGCTTCTTCCCATCCCATTCCCATAGAGATGCAATCAGAAGACTAGAATACCATGTGGTTAAGGTTGCACCCACCAAACTAAGCACTCCTTGTGTGATTTACATGCCCAGAGCAAAACATCAAACACCTTGTGAGCATAAATCAAATCCAACTTAACTACTACCAGAATTTCTAAAACAATTTTTACAGGTCGAATTCACTACCTAGAGGCCATCCAAGAGACGAGACAGCGAAGGGAAGCGGAGCATAGGCGGCAGGAGTGGCGATGGTGGTAGCCACGTGGAACGTAGCGTGTTTCCATGAGCCTCTACCACTACCAGTAGTATCTGTATATGAGCCGTTCCTTTGAAACGAATCGTTTACCGTAACGGCTGAGACTTCCTCTGCCTCGTTACCGTCTTCGCCGGAGCAGTTCCCCGGTGTTGGCGGTAAGCAGATTGAGGCCATCTCTTGGAGTTTTTGGGTTGGTTTCGATGGGTGGTGATCAGCAGCATTTCAATGAAATTGAACAAAAGTCGTTAAGGTTGCCGTCCTTTGACTCAACTCTTTTGACTTTAATTTTCGTATGATTCCGAAATGGATGGAATTTAAAACTTTCATTTAGTTAATGACTAAAATGCTCCCGCTTAAATTTCTTAGTTAATGACTAAACTTTTCATTTAGTCCAAAAGTTTTTATTTTGTTGTCATTTTAGCTTAATTTGTTTTAAAAATATTTAAAATGATAGATTTGCCTTTGGTATTTTATTTTTTATTTATTTAAAACGTTTTTCTGATTACAAGAAAAACAAATATCTCTCTCTCTCTCTCAC